GGGGGGTGGCATCCTTGTGCCCCTCCCTCTGCCCCCCCCAGCCTCGAGGGGGAGGGGCTTTGGCTACTCACCTGTGTCTAGGTCATGCTCTTGCTGGCGGAAACTGACCGGAGCCTGCCAGGGGAGAAGGAAGGTTTGAGGGGGGGGGGGCAGGCAGGGAGCGAAAAGCCACTTCCTGAGACAGGAGTTTCCTCCTTTGCAGCTGCCCCGATGCCCCCCCCCCACGGTTACCCCCCCCACCTGCGCCTGAGCCCCTGGGTGGGGAAGGGGGGGCTTTGCTCTCTTTCAAAAACTTTTATCATTATTTGAGATCTTTTTATCCCATCTTCATAAGGTTTATGAATAACTCAAGGCAGCCGACACCTCTAACAGCCCTTCCTCCGCCTCCTCCTCACAACAACCCTGCGAGGTAGACTAAAATTGAGGGGCCTAGCTTTCATGCCTAAAGCGGGACTAGAACTCCCAGGAGGGGCTGCCCTCCAGCAGCAGCTGGAAGCCGGAGGTAGTGGTGCATGGGCATTGTGGTGCTCTTCCAGGCAGTCCCCCCACCCCTCTGCTCTGCGATGGTGGAGGGGGGCTACTGCCTGAACCCCCCCATGCCCAGAAGAGGCTCCATCGGATAACCAAGAGGGAGCTGGGCTTGGGCCCTGCCCTCTCAGCGGTGCCCCCTCGCCTCCCTCCTCCCCCCTCCTGGCCGCTGCCCTGGTGATGAAGGGGGGGGGCATTTGGGCTTTGCGTGGGTTGGCAGCTGTTTCTTCCTGGGTGCAAAGTGGCCGGATCCATTTGGGCCCCCGGCCGAGAGAGACCCAGGGGCCCCACCAAGAGGGGGCCGCTGCATTCGTCTGGGTGGCTTCTCCTTCGCTGCTCCTATTCAGAATTTTCCCCCCTAGTTCTCGGGGGCTCCTCTCCTGGGTGAGTCTCCATCCGTTGCTTCAGGAATAGGGCAGGGAGGGGGGCAGAAAAGGGACCCGGGATGGCATTGCCAAGCCCCCAGGCCTACCTTCTGGGAACTCAAGAGGAATTCAGAGAGACGGGCACTGAACAGGGGTGGACTAGATGATCTCCAGGACACCCTCCAGGCCTTCGTTCCAGGAGGCTGCTAAAGGCCCAGAGAAGGGCCATGGTGGCCTAGAGGCCGGGCCAGGCTCTCTGGATGCCCACAGGGGCACGGCCCCCTTTCTCTCCTTCTGGAGGGGAGGGCCCAGCGCCTGGGTTTCGGTCCTGGGGGGCTCAGTGGAAGGCTGGAGGAAACCTCTGGGGGAGGGGAGCTCTTGGGCAGAGGGCTTCAGCCCCCTCCCCTCCAGGGTCTCCGGATTCTCCAGGACTTTATCCCTGCAAGACCCCCGAATGGGTGGCCTGAAATCAGACGTGGGAGGGGGGGAGTTGAAGGACGACGGCTCCCTTCCCTGGGGGGTCTTGAGGGGAGGTGGTGCAGCCTTCAGACTGACAAGTGTTAATGTGTTAAACCTGGAAGGGAATTTTTTTCTTTCCTCACCAGATTTGGTGGGTTTTCTGCTTCAAACAAAGAAGAAGCAGACACCCTCCCCCCCCCCAATTGAGTGGAGGGTCCGGCTGTGGCCTTTGGGTCACGGTGCCCATCCCCCCCCCGGGGCAATGCTGCAGCCTTCTGGGCTGGCACCAGACACAGCCTGGCACTGGGGCATCCTCATTCTCCCCTGGGACGGCTCTCCTGCCAGCAGAGACCTTGGAGGGGAGGCGGGGGGGGGGACTTCAGGCCACCAGGAATGCCAAAGGAAGGAGGGGCCCATCCGTTCCCGGGACAAACGGAGGACCTCAAAGGGGAGGGGGCCCCACTTGAAAAGCTGCCGTTTTGCATCTCCATGGCCTGGAGGGGCTTTGAGGGGCCCCAGGGCCCACTCAGAACAAGGGGGCACCCCGGCCTCCTTCCGTGCCTCAGGATCCTCAGCCGTGGAGGGCCAGGAAACCTGGAAGGCCAGCCTACCTGGATGCCACGGAGGCTACTCCTCCGTGCTCCCTAGAGTGAGCCAGGCCTTGTCCACGGGAGCTCAGGGGCTGCAGCGGGAACCTCTTCCTGCCACCAGGCAGAGCCCGTGGTGGGCAGAGGGGGGCAAAGGAAGCTGAAGGGAGGCTCTTGGGGGCAGCCGGACCTCCCACTCCCCCCCCCCCCCCCCTGCCCCAGACTCCCTGAGCAGCAGCTGCTGGGGTGGGGAGAGAAGGGCCTGGCCCAGCACTTGCAACCTGCACAGCCCTCCCCCCCCCAGCAATGGGGAAGGGCAGAGTCTCCACCCAGCGGGAAGAAAGCAAAGCCCCAAAGCAGAAGCTAGGACTGCCCCCCCTCCCCCTCCCTCCCTCCAGGGGGCCAAGCAGGAGTTGCCCTGCCCCTCCCTCCGGGAATGTGGCAGGAAGGACCCCGGGGGGGGGCAATTCAGGGAGGGGGAGGGAGCAGTGCTCCTCTTAGATGGGAGGGGGGGTGGAGACTCCCCCCCCCACCTGCCCAGCCCAAAGCTCCCCAGAGGAGGGAGGGGGGGCGACTTCAGGAAAGGAAGGGCTTTTGTGGGGAAGCCGCTCCGAGCGACTGTCCCTGCACACGGAGGCTCTGCTCCCAGC